TGTCAACTACAAATTGGCACTTACCAGGAAGATTGCTAATGACTGAACAACAAAGGCATCTGCCATCTGCCTCTACGGAGACTGAACACCATGTTGCTACAGCTGGTGACCTTCAACAATCCCTGAGGGAGTTCAGGGTGGAGTGAGGCACTCTATGCACCAGGGAATCTAGTGGGACAGGTCTTTAAATAGTTGGATGTTTTTAGGAACAGACTTTATGATCTCAATCCTTACATCTCTTCATATTTAGAGAAGCATTAAAATCCCTTCATGGTGACATCAGACCCTCATGACTAACAAAAAACCTTTTGTAAATTGAGTGCTTCATAGTATTGAACTCCCCCTTCACCAAAACCTGATATATTGACTCTCCCCCACTGCCACTCTGGAGCAGTCTCTCAGAGCTATCTGAGATGCTGCCTCCTGGGCTGCAGTCCTCATTTTGCCCCCAAATAAAACTTGACTCACAACTCTCAAGTTGTACATCTTTTTTAGTCAACAGAGTTCTGACAAAACGTGGTCCACTGGAGAAGGGAACGGCAAACTACTTCAGTATTCTTGCCTTGAGAACCCCATGAACAGTATGGAAAGGCAAAAAGATAGGACACAGAAAGATGAACTCCTCAGGTCAGCAAGTGTCCAGAATGCTACTGGATATCAGTCAAGATAGAACTCCAGAAAGAAGGGATGAAGCCAAAGCAAAAACACCCAGTTGTGGATGTGACTGGTGATGAAAGTAAAGTCTGACATCATAAAGAGCAAAACCGCATAGGAACCTAGGATGTTAGGTCCATGAATCAAGGCAAATCAGAAGCGGTCAAACAAGAGATGGCAAGAGTTTTAGGAATCAGTGACATTTTAGGAATTAGCGAACTAAAATGGACTGGAATGGGTGAATTTAACTCAGATGATCATTATATCTACTACTGTGGGCAAGAATCCCTTAGAGGAAATGGAGTAGCCGTGACAGTCAGCAAGAGAGTCCAAAATGCAATAGTTGGATGCAATATCAAAAATGACAGAATGATCTCTGTTCATTTCAAAGGCAAACCATTCAATATCACAGTAATCCAAGTCTATGCCCTGACCAGTAATGCTGAAGAAGCTGAAATTGAATGGTTCCATAAAGACCTACAAGACCTTCTAGAACTAACACCAAAAAAAGATGTCCTTTTCATTACAGGTAACCAGAATGCAAAAGTAGGAAGTCAAGAGATACCTGGAGTAACAGGCAAATTTGGCCTTGGAGTACAAAACAAAGCAGGTCAAAGGCTAACAGAGTTTTGCCAAGAGAACGCGTTAGTCATACCAAACACCCTCTTCCAACAACACAGGAGAAGACTCTACGCATGGACATCACCAGATGGTCAATAACAAAATCAGATTGATATTCTTTTGCAGCCAAAGATGGAGAAGCTCTATAGAGTCAGCACGAACAAGACTGGGAGTTGACTGGCTCAGGTCATGGACTCCCTTATGGAGTTCATTAAGCCAAATTCAGTCTTAAATTGAAGAAAGTAGGGAAAACCACAAGACCATTCAGGTAGGACCTAAGTCAAATCCCTTACAATTATACAGTGGAAGTGAAAAATAGATTCAAGTGTAAATCTGATAGAGTGCCTGAAGAACTATGGACGGAAGTTCATGACATTGTACAGGAGGCAGTGGTCAAGATCATCCTCAAGAAAAAGAAATGCAAAAAAGCAAAATGGTTGTCTGAGGAGGCCTTACAAATAGCTGAGGAAAAAAAAGATGCAAAAGCCAAAGGAGAAAAGGAAAGATATATCCATTTGAATGCAGAGTTCCAAAGAATAGCAAGGAGAGATAAGAAAGCCTTTCTCAGTGATCAATGCAGAGAAATGGAGGAAAACAACAGAATGGGAAAGACTGGTGATCTCTTCAAGAAAATTAGAGATATCAAGGGAACATTTCATGCAAAGATGGACTCAATAAAAGACAGAAATGGTATGGACCTAGCAGAAGCAGAAGATATTAAGAAGAGGTGGCAAGAATACACAAAAGAACTATACAAAAAAGATCCTCATNACTTATATGCAGAGTACATCATGAGAAATGCTGGGCTGGATGAAGCACAAGCTGGAATCAAGATTGCCAGGAGAAATATCAATAACCTCAGATATGCAGATGACACCACCCTTATGGCAGATGACACCACCCTTATGGCAGAAAGCAAAGAACTGAAGAGCCTCTTGATGAAGGTGAAAGAGGAGAGTGAAAAGTTGGCTTAAAACTCAACATTCAGAAAACTAAGATCACGGCATCTGGTCCTATCACTTCATGGCAAATGGATGGGGAATCAGTGGAAACAGTAACAGACTATATTTTCTTGGGCTCTGAAATCACTGTAGATGGTGGCTGCAGCCATGAAATTAAAAGACGCTTGCTCCTTGGAAGACAAGTTATGACCAACCTAGACAGCAGATTAAAAAGCAGAGATATTACTTTGCCAACAAAGGTCCGTCTAGTCAAAGCTATGGTTTTTCCAATAGTCATGTATGGACGTGAGAGTTGGGCTATAAAGAAAGCCGAGCACCAAAGAATTGATGTTTTTGAACTATGGTGTTGAAAAAGACTCTTGAGAGTCCCTTGGACTGCAAGGGGATCCAACAAGTCCATCCTAAAGGAAATCAGTCCTGAATATTCATTGAAAGGACTGATGCTGAAGCTGAAACTCCAACACTTTGGCCACATGATGTGGAGAACTGACTTGTTTGAAAAGACCCTGAAGCTGGGAAAGACTGAAGGAAAGAGAAGGAGACGACAGAGGATGAGATAGTTGGATGGCATCACCAACTCGATGGACATGAGTTTGAATAGGCTCTGGGAGTTGGTGATGGACAGGGAAGCCTGGCGTGCTGCAGTCCATGGGGTCGCAAAGAGTTAAGACATGATGAGCAACTGAACTGAACTAAACTGATAATAATGATATGCTACTTTATTAGCCTACATACTCAGCTTACTATATACACTCCCAGTTTTGCCCCTTCATGTTCATGGGGTAAACAAAACCAAAGGATTGCACCATCTTACTGGCTCAAGGGGACACCCATGTCTCTGAGATAATCCTTCAAATATAATCCAAAGACCCATGGTGGTCTCAAGCCACTTTATGAAGGTAACAACAGCTAACGTTGAGTGATTACTAGGTATCAGCAATGCTAAGAAGGAAATGGCAACCCACTCCAGTATTCTTGCCTGGGAAATCTCATGGACAGAGGAGCCTGGTGGGCTATAGTCCAGAGGGTCACAAGAGTTGGACATGACTTAGCAACTAAACCACCACCAAGCGTATTACGTCCATTATCTCAGATCCTCATAACAAACCCATGAACTAAATGTTCTTAATATCTTTTATTTTAGAAACTAAGAAACAATCAATCCAAGAAATGATTAAACATTTCCATGATCAGAGCCTATACCTGGCAGAATTACGAGCAAATAGGTGACCAGGGAAGGAAAACATCATGTCCTTAACATTTATGATATAGGTACCTCACCTCATTCACTACTTACCATATCTTACAAGGTAAAGATAGTACAAAGACAGTAAGTAACTGAAACATGAAGCTGAAACAAGCTTTAAACCTCTCCTAGACAGTCTAAGTCAGAAGCCCAAGGTCTTACAGGATTCTGAACGACTAGGACATTTTAGGGTCCTCTAGGGTTACTATGATGACAGACCCAGCCTCCTAAGGCAGCCACTTTCATTTCCAAGCCAGCCCAGCTTCTGTGGACTGGATAAGCAATGGTGTTAAAGGGACCTGGGGTCATGCTGAGCATGTACAACCTAACTCAGTAGACTTTATCCATTGGTGCATACCCCTCAACCAAAACCAATCAATAAACAGTTCACATGTCAGGTTTTGTGTCAGGCTTTAGGATTACAAAAATGAAATCCATTCTCTGATTCAAGGAGTTCACAGTCTAGTAGAAACACGTATCCTGGAAGGACATACTCTAGGACTTTAGCATAAAACATAAAAGCATATGACAACTACTCAGTAATAAGCACTACTACGTGCAAAACAAGTATTGTGTCAAACTTCACCAAGCTTGTATTTTCAGAGCAAATCTAACCCACTTTGATCTATAGTTATCTCAAAGTCATCAGACTATCCAATTATTAAATCTGATGATGGAGGGGTCAACATAATAAGCATAAAGAACTGCCAAGGAGAAAGGAGTTATCTGAAAGGCTGCATATTTTCCTTCTATTAGTCTATCCTTACCTCTGCCTCCCACTGCTATATGACCTCTGATAAACACATATTAGGTATCAGGTAAATTTTTGTTGAACAAATGATTATGCTGCTTGAAAGGAATTACACAAACTCAAATAGAGAATAAAAAGCAATGAGTTTGTCATTACAATGGTTACTGGCAAAGGTGGGGACTAATGTATAGGAGCAATTGTCACATAGACTATAATCCTCTCTTTCTCATCAGTAAGGAAACTTCTACAGCACCAAGGAGAAGACCATCTGGTAGATTAAACTTGAATGGCTTAGAACAATGGAAAAAAGAAAAAGTGAAAGTGAAGTCGCTCAGTCATGTCCGACTCTTTGCAACCCCATGGACGGTAGCCTACCAGGGTCTGTGGTCCATGCGATTTTCCAGGCAAGAATACTGGAGTGGGCTGCCATTTCCTTCTCCAGGGGACCCTCCCCACCCAGGGATTGAACCCGGGTCGCCTGCATTGTAGGCAGACGCTTAGCCTTCTGAGCCACTAGGGAAGCCCAGAAGAGGGGAAGCACACTTTTATCTCGGGTACTACAACAGAGATTTACGCCTGCATACTTCTGGTGGGCTATAAAGCAACTGGGGAGTGAGCTCCCTGCCACATCTGTGAATATAAGCATTAACATTAATCTCCCCATTCCACTGTAGGGCTAAAATATCTAAGCCCCTACTCTGAGTAGGAAAAAATGAATACAGGAAGGAGTCTTCTCTTTAATTGAAAAGAAACTATGAAACATCACTTGTTAATAAGAATGCTTTATTTATTCAGGTGCTGAATCCTTTGTGCTGGCAAGAAAAACAGAGAATACAGAGAATATTTACTTTTCGGAGAGCTAAACAAAGAACCTATTTGCTGACTCATTAAAGTGAGGCAAAGGCATCAAACAGGATTACATCTGACTACATTAAATGCTCCATTGTTAAGTAACAAATCTCTCTTCAGTTTTCTAAATTTTCAACTCAAGGAGATTCTTGCCGAATTATTTTACTAATGAAGCCCATCTAAATCCATCTAAAATGTGAACATATATGCTTCTACAGTTATCAAGGTTTGTGAAGTAGGTTTTATATAATTGTGGGCAGTCATAAAACAGTGTAGGGACAGTAATAGGACACAAGTTATACAGTTGTTAATCTCTTCAGATGCAAATTAACTAAAATTGAATTTGCTGTTTTGTTCTTTCTTGACTTAAACTGAGTCCTTTGTTTCGTGAACAACAAAATTCAATTAGCCAAATCAAATAAAGTGCTTTCGACAGTCTGCAGACTTAAAACACACTAGTCTTGTGCTTTTATAATACCTTATTCCTTGGGGTTCCTGAGGCTGATCATAAAGAATCCACAAGCAGGAAAGTTTGGGGCTGGACTGCTGCTTCTGAAAACGTATGGAGGATATTTTTCAATTTGTTTCAATTAATAATAATTACCATTTATTTAGACCCATATTTTAAGCACTGTGCTAGCTGCTTTGCAAACATTCATTTAACCCTTACCAAAACCATGCAATGTAGACATTATCTCTATTTTACAGATGAGGAACCAAGTTCAGAATGGTTACTTGCCACACATAATGGGCTCCATGATTGTGAACCAACCCAACAGCTACTTCTTTTCAATTGATCATTAATCAGACTCTCATCAAACATCAAACTCTCAGTTGTCTACAACAAAGAATACTGTATGTGTACTATGCCTGATTCATGTTGAGGTTAGACAGAAAATAACAAAATTCTGTAAAGCAATTATCCTTCAATTAAAAAATAAATAAATTTTTAAAAAAGAATACTGTAAACACTTATCCTCAGATACCACAGTTTAAGACAACTGGGGTAACACTGCCTAACATACAAAGGTAACAGGATGCTTGAGTAAGAGTCACACTAAAGCCAAAGATGCCCATAAGGTTTTCCCTCTTTCTGAAAGCAGAAAATCACCCCCAAAGACTTCTTGAATACCACTAATTATCAGCTTTGACTCATTTTTAAATCCCAAAACAATATACAAAGACACCATCGCCTTGCCAGTACCAGGTGCACCACAGTCACGAAAGAAAACCCCCATGGACTTCAGCTGCCCACCAGCCAGAGAGCCCTCCGCCCCGCCGCAATTGGCCGCTTCTGGCTCCACATTCCTAGTATACATCTCTACTTATGCTTCAAAAAACATATTTTTAACTCCAAAAAAAAAAAAAAGATGAAATCCTGGGCAAGTCCTGACCTTCCTACACATCTACCTTTTTACAGTGGCAGGAAAAAATGGAGGTGAGGACAGAGGAGATATTTTAATCCTTTACAGCACACCATTCCCACTGGACAAACGAACAGGGAGGACAGTGTCTTGGTCACCAGATCCATACACCATGTATATCAAGAGGCAGAAGCAAACTGCCGAGACTGGAACTTAGGAATCTGGGGCTCCAGTGGCAAACTGTCCCTGGACACTGGCTCAGACTCAGTGAGTTAATTAAGAGAAAAAGAACCCAATGTCTTTGATCTGATGAAGAATTATATAATAGGAAAACTGAGGGAAAAGGACCACTTGACAGAAAAATTCAAAACAGAATTATGAATCCTACCTACTAATCTGACTTTGGCCAAGACAATGGGATCATATCTCTAGATAACTGAGATGGTTGAATCTAAAACATACAATCATCAAAATGGTGAAACTTTAGACCTAGTGCCTTCAAAACTCTATCTACTCCTAGACTATATTGTAATTCTTCTTGGAGAACAGAATCCCCAAAGCACATTTCCTACAGTCTTACAAGAACTGTCAAGAATGATGATCTCGAAAGAATTTTTTGTGATATTTAAAACAGCAGCCCCCAGTGGCTACCGAGCATTCAGCAAGGGGTTTACATGACTAAAGAACTCAATGTTAAATTTCATCTTAATCAATTTAAACTTAACTATCCATGTGTGGCTAGTGGCTGTTGTACTGAACAATGCAGTTCTAAAAGTTAACTTTCAGCAAATAACATATTTGAAAAAAATTAGTCTTCTCTTCCTTAAGACTCAACAAAATAGCCAGGAAATCACATTATCTGTTCAAAAAAAATCTCTCTCTGGGCAAACCCATAGGACAGCAATAATCTGTCACCACCCAGTCAGGCAACAGGATATAAGATTCAATGACCATCTCATCTTTAGTCTCCCAGGATTTCTCTCCATGTTTTCCTTTGAAACTATTACTGCCTTACCCTAAATAAAAAATATTCTTCTTTCTCTCCATCACTGGCAGTATCTCTCACTGGGCAAATCTGGTGACCTGATAATCTGGGTCTTCCCAAGCTTTAAGCTGGGAACTTGACTTTTCCCACATGTTTTGCCAAACAAACCAAACAAATTTTGCAACAGTGTGATCTGAGAACATCTTAATTATAATTTTTGATAAGAAAAGAAAAAGAAACAGACTTTAGGACTCAGGAAGGAGGTGAACTTGGTATTGAAAATGAAGGGATGAGTGCTATTTCCCCAGAATAGTTTCTCCAAGTCCATCCATGAGGAAAATCTTCCCCTTCAGGAGACTCGAAAGATTTTCCTACATGAATTTTCCGATGCTGACTGAGGTAGGCACTTCGGCTGAAGCATTTCTCACAGTCACTGCATTTGTAAGGTTTTTCTCCCATGTGGGTCCTCCGGTGCCTGATAAGGTTAAAGCTCTGACTGAAGCACTCACCACAGTCAGGACATTTATAAGGTTTCTCTCCCGTGTGTGTCCTTTGGTGAATCACCAGGGTGGAACTCTGACTAAAAGTTTTCCAACACTCAGAACATCTGTAAGGTTTTTCTCCTGTATGTGTTCTTTGATGTCTTATGAGATGAGAGCTGAGGCCAAAACTCTTTCCACACTGACAACATTTATATGGCTTCTCTCCTGGCTGAATTCTGCATTCTTCTATCAGCCTATAGTTCTGACTCAAACTTTCTTCATATTCAGAACTTTGATAGGTTTTGTCATCTGTGTGCATTTTCTGATGTGTAACCAGGTTTGAACTTCGACTGAAATTCTTCCCACATTCTATACACTGATAGGGTTTTTCTCCTGTATGTATTCTCTGATGCTTGATTAGAGTAGAATTACAACCAAAGCTTTTTCCACACTCAGGACATTTGTAGGGCTTCTCACCAGTGTGTGTCCGCTGGTGGCGAATCAGACTAGAGCTCTGACTAAAACTCTTCCCACAGTCAGGGCACTTATAAGGTTTTTCTCCAGTGTGGGTCCTCTGATGTTCTACAAGCACATAACTATGGCTGAAGCATTTCCCACAAACTGGACATTCATATGGTTTTTCACCTGTATGTGATCGGTGATGCTGAATAAGGTGAGAGCTACTGCTGAAACTCTTTGCACACTCGGGACATTTATAGGGTTTCTCTCCCGTGTGAGTTCGTTCATGGATAATAAGATGGGAGGTGTTGCTGAAGCTTTTCCCACATTCACCACATTGGTAGGGCTTCTCGCCTGTGTGGGTTCTCAGGTGCTGAATCAAGTGAGAGCTGTTACTAAAGCACTTCCCACACTCAGAACATCTGTAAGGTTTTTCTCCTGAGTGGGTCCTCTGGTGAGTTCGAAGATGAGAACTATTACTGAAGCTTTTCCAACATTCAGAACATTTGTGGGGTTTGTCCCCAAATGATGGGTTCTGCTGGCCAGCAGACCCAGTATGTTCTCCTGGGTTCCATCCCCAGTGATTGCATTGTTCCTCCTCTTTTTCTGTACAATTTCCCTGATTCTCCAAGTTGCTATCTTTCTCACAGGAATCATCACATTCAGTTTTACCTCCTTGGGACCCTGTCAATAGTATTTCTTTTGTGTCTTCATCCTTATAATTTTCTGGGTCATCACTTCTAGACCATTTTGAGGCTCTCTCTTTATCTGCCTTGGAGTTACTGCATTCAACAGTTTTAAAATTATTCTTACTTTCATCTCCTGCAGGAATAAACAAATACTCTAAACATTCCCTAGTCTCTGCCAGGGGGAAGAAATTCTGAATTATAGTGGAAGAGAGGGAATAACAAACTCAACCTTGTAAAATGTTTTAGATTTAAAAAGTGTTTCCAGAAGAATATTAAACAATTATTAGCTGGGGGAAAAAAAGTGTTTACAGCTAGTTTTATTTCTTTTACTCAATGTGTTCATCAGAAGCAGGTGAATTTTTTGTATTTATAAAAACAGTAATGAAGTGTCTGGTCAGTTCTCACCAATTGCCATGGTGGATATCAAAATATTAATAAAAATACATTAACTGAATTTTATTCTAGAAGACTTTAAAAAGTAAGAGACAAAGTGAATAGAACACTATCTGAGGTGAAAACTAGATAAAAATATTAGTTAAAATCTGAGCAAACAAAGAAATAGCAATGATACCCACTACTTATTAAGAACGGTAATTTTGTATATAGTATATCAGTATCTTAAAAAAATATGCAAGACACATATTATCATTTACTTTTCTTAAAGATGAGAAAACTGAGGCTGTAAGAGTTTTCATAGCTTATGACAGATCAAGGGAATCAAATTAAAGTCTGTCTCACTCTAATGCCCTGATCTTTCTATACATTCTACAGCATGTCTTAAAAAAAAATTCCCAAAGGATTCACATCTTCTTGATCTCTCACCTGTAAAAGTGCTGTTCAAACTCTCCTTCTTTGTGAAGCCACTAGAATCTGAGACCAGTAGTTTTTGCTCTTGTTCCATCACAATGATCAGTCAGATTAGGGATCAGAAATCCTGTAGAAGGAAACAAGTTATGTTTAAAAGCATTTGTAACATTTCTCCTTCCTTCCTTCTTTCCGCCCATTGCAACACAACAACTGTTAAGCACTTAATGATCTGCGGACCATACTGAACATAAGAAACATGGGCTTTGGAAATCCTTTCAGAAAATCTAACCTCAGATTCAAGTTGTTCACGAGCAAGCATTAACCTGATTTACCTTTCCCAGGGAAATAATTTAAAAATTAAACCTTTGCAATAAAGTCTGAGGATCAAGGTTTAAAAATAGAATAAATATTAACATTGTCCACTTGGAACTCAGAAACACTTTTGGTTGAAAAACTGAAGTCGTTTTTTGGAAAAGGCACCAATAGTAAGAATTTAGGAATCAATATGCAGGAATAAGCAGCAGCTAAAGAGAAACTGTTTAGTTTACAAAGAATAAGTGGGTCCTTGACAGAATGATGAAACCTTTGAATTCCAAACATTAAGTTAGGATTTACTTGACTAGTAACAATAAATTAAGATGAAGTAGAGCTAAAATAATTACAGCCAATAATCTCTAATTATAAAAGGGAGGCTAACAAGGGACCTCTTCCTTGTCTCTTACTCTCTATCATAATCACAATATCCCTTTCAGCCTAAGCTTTATCTTCTGGACCCAATTACAACCCCTGACCTACTTTAGGGACTGGAAGGCAACTATATATGGTCTTGGCCTTGTATAAACAGGTATCAGCATGTTATAGGTGAACAAAACAGACATTAAGAAACTTTCCCAAAGTCACACAACCGCAACATGGTAGAGCAGGATTCAGTCCCAAATCTGTTGGACACTGAATTTAATACTCTTGTCTATTACAGTAAACAACTAGAGAAGAAAGCAGAAACTGGGCATAATTCCAACCAGCAAATGATCAGGACTTTTATTTTGCAATATATTGACTTCCATCACCAGCACCTCCCCTACTGCCTGCACCACAAGCCTTTGTGGGATCTTAGTTCCCCCAACAGGGATTGAACCCCAGGCCCTGGAATGAGAGTGCCAAGCCCTAATCACTGGCCTGCCAGGGAATTCCTATATTAACTGCATTTTTAGAAAACCAATTTATATCCCTAGACCTTATATCAAAAGAAGCGGCATTCTCTAAGCACCTTCAATATATATGAAACTTCTCTAAATTACAAGTATGTCCAATGTTTGTGTAGGGGAAAAAACATACACCTGAACTCAAAAAAAAAAAAAAAAAAAAGTTGTTCAAATGGAATGTTTTACCACCCGAGTTACATACTTCTCTCACAGTCCTTACAAAAGAAGCAGAAGTCTACATAAGATACCCGTGCTACCATTTTACCGGCTAAGAAACTTACTAATTTTGGTAACAGAGGAGCCCTCAGGAACACTGGCTCAGAAAAACAGTAGCAAACTTAGGGCCACAGTTTCTATTAAAAGGCTGTCCTTAAGATGCTACGCCACAGAGAAAGGCTGTTTTTACTGCCTAGAGCAAAAAAGGTGATTAGGAACGGGGCAGTGCTTCGGTTTAAAGACTCCCAAAGAAAATGCACTGCCTGAAGTTTAGCTTTAAAAAGCGCCGGCAGGGAGCACAGGTCGGGTACACTGCGGAAGAGTTCCAGGGAAACAGATCGTCTCCAGTCGACACGGTGCTTCCAGGGACGCTGCAGGGGAGGGAGGCGCAGTGGCCGGAGCTGCTGGGCCTTCGCCATTCACAGCAGCGGCCGTCCTCTGCAGGATGAACACTGCAGCCTGGGCGACGCAGCTTCCGCTCCTCCGGCCCGAAACCCTCGGCTCCGTCCCCCTCCCCGAGAAGGAACTCACTGTTCTGGGGGCTACAACAAGGCGCCCCACACCCCCCGCAGGCCCGGGACTAGGAGCCCACTTTACTTCTAACGCCACCAACCTAGGGTCCTAACCTCTCAAACCCGGAAGTCAGAAACAGGAAGTCCCCCCTTCTCCCACAGTGGGCTTGATGGAGCCTCTCTAGAAAACAGTGATGGCTGGCGCTCGTTGATCTTAACCCTTAGGGTCCCGGACAAGAAGGAGTGTACCGGTGGTATTCCTCTTCTTTGTGGACAAGTTTGCTGACTCTGATTCTCAAACCTCACATTTATCAGGTACCTTATAATAGGGGACCAGTTGGAGCTGATACTTTTCCTTGCCATCGGGGCATCATCAGATTTCTCATCATCATTGGAATTAAAAAGAAGCGAGTATCGAGTATTTGTTAAGCGCCGACTCTGTTCCCACCGCTGTGAACTGGGAGGTATATTTAGCCATCTGTGAAACAGGGAGCGAAGGCATCCATCCACATATAAAACAACTAGTTTACGAGGCAACGCTGTGAATAATATTTGGTGAAACAAGCTTTCCTCCTTCATTACGGAGAAACTAGAAATCAATCCCTTCATCTCCCCGCATCAATCTAAGTCTGCAGTGCAAGCGTCTCTTCCTTCCCTCCAATTACAACAGAGGATTGGTCTTGGCATTTTAAAGGAGCCCTCCACTGCCGGTCACCTTCCTCCCTACCTTCATGGGATCCTTCCACTATCAACTAAACTCCTGACTCTCCCACCACCATCCCCAAACAGTCCTTCAGTTTTTCTTTTTTAAACGCCTGCTGTTTCCATTTTATCATTTCCCACTCATCTTTTAACTCATTTCTCCTGTAGTAAAAAAACAATGAATCACTAAGATCATCAATGACCTCTGCCTTCTTAGCACATCGGTATGTTTTGGTTCCCAAGTCCTCTTTCAGGAGTTCTGACACTGCTTCCTTCTAGAAACATTCCTTTGAGGGGACACTGCACTCTCCTCACTGTCCTCCAACAGCTCTAGTCAGTGCTGTCTTTTGCAAGCCTGTGTGTGTGCCTGTGTTCGGTCATGTCTGACTCTGCATCCCCATGGACTGTAGCCCGCCAGGCTCCTCTCTCCATGGGATTCTCCAGGCAAGAATACTGGAGTGGGTTGCCATTTCCTCCTCCAGGGTACCTTCCCAACCCCGGAATTGAACCCATGTCTCCTGAGTCTCTTTCATTGGTAGACGGATTCTTCACCACTGAGCCACCTGGGAAGCTCCTCACTTCCAGGACCCAGGGACAAAGACCAGCCAAATTCTTGTTATACAACAGGAACCAATCCAATCCTTCTTCCCTGCATCCTTCCGATCGCCTCAGATGGTGAAAAGTGCCCCACCACTGCTGATTCTCTGCCACTATCCCCATCACCACCACCACAACCACCAGAGGAAGAAACTCCTCTCTGCTCTTTGCCACAGCCCAGGAATACTCATGTGTCTGAGAGATAAACTTCATACTTGCTATGGCATGAACTGTGCCCCTCCCCACCAATTCATATGTTGAAAACCTAAACACCCAATGTGATGGTATTAGGAGGTGGGGCCTTTGGGAAGTAATTAGGTCTAGATGAGGTCATGAGAATGGGACCCTCATGATGGGATTAATGCCTTTTTAAGAAAAGACACCAAAGACTGATATTCCTCTTGCCCCTCATCACACATCCTCTCACGCCATACCATGTGAGGGCACAGAAGGCAGCCACATGTTGGCACCCTGATCTCAGACTTTCAACATTGTTGAAAGTTGTTTAAGCCACCCAGGATATATTGTATTTTGTTGATCTGATTATATGAGCAGAGCAGCTCATACTAAAGTGTCCATTGTCAGGGTTTATCCTTTGCAGGGATATTTAAACTAGAAGGTGGTTTAAAAGACGGAATCTCTAATTGGCAGATGGGGCAAGGCCATGTCATAACAAGCAGCATGATGTCCTAATCAGTGAGTTCTTTGCCTCACATACAAGATTTTTGACTCTTAACTAAGAGATCAAACCTCAACCACAGTGACTTGGGTATGATGATACACATCTTCCCAGGTCTGAGGATTGCTTATTTTTAGTGGTGAGCTTTCCAGTGCTCTCAGCAGATCTTTGGCTCCTTTTTTTTTCATAATCTCTCCTCCCACTCATCCCTGCATTATTTGGCCTGAGAATATGTGCCAAGAATATCTACTGAAATAATCCCTGCTCCAAGTGTCCATGACTCAGTACCTCCAGGGTGGAATCTAATGAAATAGAGACTCAGTTTAAGAAATATGTATGAGCTGGCACAGAGCGCCAAAGATACCGGAAGCCAAAAACCATAAATTTCCAAGGCAGAGGACCATTTTATTGAAACAGATGCCAAAGAAACTGCAACATCTTTTTTCAAAGTGGGTGGGAGGGATGGGTGTTTGGGCTGTGAAGGAAAAGAAATGTCTGTATGGATTTTATTCTGGTAGAGCAAGTAAAGGGGATCAACAGCTCAGAGTCTAGATTGTCCCTTTCTCATACTAGCCTGGAATGCTCTTTCCTTAGTCATGTTAAATGCTCAGAATTCTAAACTGTGTCAGCAGGTGGCTCCAGAGGCAGCTGTTTGGTGAGACTGCCGCAAAATTTAAATAATGCTGCAGATTAACACATCCCAGTATAATCTTGCATCTTGATGCAAACAAATGTGATATTTGTAGCAATGTGATTTAACAAAAGTAAAATCTGAATGTAATAAAGGATTATAAACATGGATATTCTCTAATAGGAACCATATGGAATTAAATACAAGACAGAGAGAGAGAATTTTGCTGGGTGCCAAACACCAGTCTCCAGAATATTAAGGGTCCCTTCTCCTCTTTGGCCAGATTTTCTCTACGGTTAGTTGTCCCCAAGATTCCCATTCTGGCGCCTACCCTACTGCAAGCCAGTCACCCTCCAGCAGACAGAGGATCAAGATGAAGCAGGCCTCAATCTGGCTGCAGATGAGAATGCCAGTTCTTAGGGCCAGTTCTCTTTTATAGTTACAGAGCTGAATAATGTAGAAAGTTGCAAAACCGGCCTCAAAATTTTCAGGAACCCAGAAGGACACCATCTGGAAATCTGAGGTGTGAGTACACATTATGAAGCCTGGACTATGGCAAAGGGCACTTGATTCATTTCTAAATACACCAAATGCTGGAAGGCAGAGTAGTTACCAGTCAGAACTATGAAAGCAGGGGAATTTCTTCTAGACGCCTTTCCACTTGCTCTCTCAGATACCAGTCTCCTATCTCCAACTGTGCACCTGCCCTCTTAACTTCAGATCAATCTACCAATATCACCCCTCCTAGATATTGGGGCTTCCTTGGTGGCTCAGATGGTAAAGAATCCGCCTGCCAATGCAGGAGACACGGGTTTGGTCCCTGGGTCAGGAAGATCCCCTGGAGAAGGAAATGGCAACCCACTCTAGCATTCTTGCCTGGGAAACAGAGGAGCCTGGTAGGCTACTGTCCATGGGATTGCAAAGAGTTAGACACGATTTATCGAATAAACAACCACCACCTACGAGATGTTACCTCCTCCAGCCTCTTCATTTTACCCTTTGTCTCTCAGCCCATCCCTAGAAGTGTTGATGTACTCACGGGTCAGGATGAATAGCATCTGTAGAATCACAGACCCAGAGTTGGCAGGAGGAAGGAAGGCAGAGAAGAATATCTGTGCGATGCTTTCTGTGGCCCAGACACTGGCATATCTGTTCTCTCATCTCATCCTCACAGCCATCCTGCATGGTGAAGGGGTGAGTTGTCCAGCTTTTTGCATTTTGAGGAAACTGACACAAAGAGTTTAAGATAAAAGGGAGCAGAGGGAGTAGAGGCCCTCAACAAAGTCTGTCCTGCGAAATGGCAGCCCTATAGATCTCTTTCAAAGTCATGAACCCATGCCTTCTTTCTCCTGGATATTCTTCTGCAGTGAATGCCATCCCCAGGCAGAAAGCTGCTCCAAGCACCAACTTTGACTATTCACTCCTCAGATCATAACCAACCCAAAGTCACCAAATTCTGCTGATCCTACCTCCTGAACAGCTCTCAAATGTGTCCAGGCCTCAGCTCTCCCTCCATCACTTCCCGAGGCCAGGGCATCCTCATTTCTTATTCTCGGTATCTCTGTCTCCCAGTTGGCTCAAGAGGTGTGTGTATGGAAGGCGAAGGTGGGGGGAGGTTGAGGAAGAGTTGAGGAGCTGTAGAAATACCCTATTTTAGTTGATTTTTAACAATAGTAAATCAAATAATAGCATATGTGGAATGCTCATATTCCCATACTTGGCACTATAACTACTCAGAGTGTGCGTGTATGTGGGTGTGTATTCAGTCACTCAGGACTCTGCGGCCCCAGGGACTGCAGCCTGACAGGTGCCTCTGTCCATGGAATTCTCCAGGCTAGAATGCTGGAGTGGGTTGCCATCTCCTACTCCAATACATGGTAGTAATATGGAAATCACATGCAAAAGACTTCCTGGTTACCATGTCTAATATCTTAACTGCAGCTCAGTTAGAGGGTCATGCTTTGCCTTCTTCTATCTAGAAATCACTTTTTAATCCCCCTGAGACGTCTTCCCTCTACATTCCTCACTAAATCCTTTTCATTTTAGATCTTAGAACAGGTGCTATTGACTTTTATGATATTCATTTGTCAAAAAAAGTCTATTCAATCTAGGGAGGACTATATAGATAACTCTTTAAGTCTCTCTGCCCGTGCTTCACAGTGTATTAAGTTAGGATAAGCAAACTCTGAAAGAGAGGTGATATCAGCTTTACCTCATGAAAGAAGTACTGCACTGGATTTCTCTTGGAGTTGGTTCAGAAAGTACTTTTTGGGATTTCCCTGGTGGTCCAGTGGTTAGGACTCAGGGTTTTCATCGTCAAGAGCCTGGGTTTGATCCCTGCTTGGGGAAGTAAGATGGCAGAAGTCATGCAGCATGGCCAAAAAATAAAAAGCGCTTTTTGCAAAGACTCATCTCACCTGTCATCAGATGATAGCCAAAACTGGTAGGTAAACAGGCATTTATAATCAAGTAAAGTAGCTATGAAAATACTCAATATTGTAGACCATCCTCTTAGGATCCATTTGTGAATAGATCGGAATATCTTTGGTTATCTTTGATTGGCACTACCGGTAGTTATTTGAGCAAGTGTTATGAACTGAATTGCTCCCCTCGAAGTTCATATGTTGAAATCTTAACCCCCCGGTGTGACTATATTTGAATACAGACCTTTAAGTAGGTAATTTGGATTAAATGAGCTCATAAAGGTGGGGTCCTGATTCAACCGGACTGATGTCCTTACAATAAGGGACAAACAGCAGGGATGTGAGCATCCAAAGAAAAGGCCATGGGAGGACCCAGCAAGAAGATGACCATCCGTAAGGTAAGGAGAAGGGCCTCAGGATAAATCAAACAGTAGACACCTTGGTGTTGGACTTCTAGACTCTAGAACGCTGAGAATTACATTTTTGATGTTTAAGCCATCCAGCCTGAGATATTTTTGTTATGGAGGCCTTTGCAAACTAAGACAGCAAGGAACAGGAATGCTAAATTCCCTACCAAGTGCAGGATGGCTTGGTATTACCTAGACAGCATATTAAAAAGCAGAGACATTACTTTGCCGACAAAGATCCATCTAGTCAAAGCTATGGTTTTTCCAGCAGTCATGTATGGATGTGAGAGTTGGACTATAAAGAAAGCTGAGCACCAAAGAATTGAGGTTTTTGAACTGTGGAGTTGGAGAACACTCTTGAGAGTCCCTTGGACAGCAAGGAGATCCAACCAGTCAATCCTAAAGGAGATCAGTCCTGAATACTCATTGGAAAGATGGATGCTGACGCTGAAACTCCAATATTTTGGTCACCTGATGTGAAGAACTGACTCACTGGAAAAGACCCTGATGCTGGGAGAGATTGAAGGCGGGAGGAGAAGGGGATGACAGAGGATGAGATGGTTGGATGGTATCACCAACTCGATGGACATGAGTTTGAGTAAGCTCTGGGAGTTGGTGATGGACAGGGAAGCCTGGCATGCTGCAGCCCATGGGGTCAAAAAGAGTCAGACACGAGTGAGTGACTGAACTGACATACTAAAATATTGTCCTGTCTCAAATGCAAATAACACTGAGAAACACCAATCTGGTCCCAACTGTTCATCTTACAGATGACTCCATTAGACTTTTGAGGCAAAGCACCTTGTTTTATTTACATTGTTCCGTCAGGTGTTGGCACAGTGTCTGGCACTCGTAGGAGCTTAGTAATCATGAGAGTGTGATATCTTTCAAATTATTTGTGTGCTTATGCGTTTTACCTCTCCTTATTCCAGTTCACCTGAGCCATTCTTCTGCTTGAGGTGATATACAACTTATTATTGAGAGACTAAAAAGATAGACTGGGATAACATTTAGCTTTTGACATTCAAAAATAAGATTTTGCTGCAAGACAACAATTGTGTTCCTTGCTAAGCTCTTGTCTTGAGAGAGGATTTTTTAAAGTCCTTTAGTGTATCAAGGGCCTGGTTTGGGACTCAGGCAAAGGAGTTCTTCCTCGGAAGTTCCAGAAAGAATATGAAGCTCATTGGCTGAAGGCCAAGTACTTTAGTTTGAAAAGAGTCACACTAGAAGCAGGGAGCTATTACCCACTCTGTCCTTTCCTGGCCCAACCTCCCACCTAAAAATTGCACCCCAGTCACTTACGATCATTCTGTTCTGTACTTGTTTCTTTGCTTATCATTTTTCTCTGCGATTAGAATGTCAACTGCAAGAGGCAGTTCTTTGTCTATTTAACTACTGCTATATCTCCAGCATCAGAAACGTAACTGGCAGCTCAATAAATATTTACTGAATGGAATGAATGTGTCTTCTTTTCTCTTCATCTCCCTTTCACATCCAAAGAAAGAGAAGAAGAAATAATATGAAAAGATATTTTTTAAAGCTTTTGAATTCATTCACTGAATTGCTCTACTTGCTGAGGAAATCCTAAGAACTTCATAAAACTGCATACTGAAAGATCTAAAGAAGAAGCATCTCTTAACANCCCTTTCACATCCAAAGAAAGAGAAGAAGAAATAATATGAAAAGATATTTTTTAAAGCTTTTGAATTCATTCACTGAATTGCTCTACTTGCTGAGGAAATCCTAAGAACTTCATAAAACTGCATACTGAAAGATCTAAAGAAGAAGCATCTCTTAACACCTCTTTGTTCCTCTCTTCATTCTGCTTCTTTGTGTTCCTTTGCAAAGTTTATACTGTGACAAATGACATCTCTAATGGCTGCTGCTGCTGCTGCTGCTGCCAAGTCCCTTCAGTCGTGTCCGACTCTTCGTGACCCCATGGACTGCAGCCCGCCAGGCTCCTCTGCCCATGGGATTTTCCAGGCAAGAGTACTGGAGTGGGGTGCCATTGCCTTCTCTGTCTCTAATGGCTCTGGGCCACTAACTGTTCAGAAAGCACAGATAAAATAAAAGCTGATGCCCTGGGTGCCTGCCTGTTTCTGGCACACAAAGCTGGGGATATTGTCCACGCATGGTGAAAGGTCTCCTTTCTTAGCAGTGGAGCCTCGTGAGTCCCAGCCCTAGTGGAGCTGCCCAGGGAAGCGTGCCATGCCCCTGACGGGCCTCACAGCCCCTTGGCCGTCATCTCTGTGGGGAGCACGTATGGGTAAAAAGGTGAAGGCAGGGTTCTGAACTAGAAAGCAATTTTATCCGGAAGTCCTGTGTTCAGATTGCCAACTTCGGGCAATGAGTGTTGGGGCTTTTTCTTTGCCACAAAAGAATAAATGTTTTAGGAAACATCAGGCCAAATGATCAAGAATGTGGATTCAGACAAAGGATGTGGACCATAAGATTCTTTGTTTATTAGTAGCCAGAAAAATCAATCATGTTTCTTTGCGATGAATTCAATGGAGATTATTTATCAGGGTTGGGGAGGGAAGAAAGTAGGGGAGATCCACAAAGGCTGTGGCCCCTTACCATATGCCATCTGCATAATATCAATTTCGTGTGCAGAACAAGTCATTTGTTACCTAAGACAGTCCTTGTTCTAAAATGGATTCTCTTCACCTGCATAAAGGAGAGACTTCCTAGTGAGGTACTGGAAAGTAGAATGAAATAATTGCTCCTGATCAATACTGGCTCCGCAGTGGCCACCAAATTGGAAAAGGTCAGTTTTCATTCCAATCCCAAAGAAAGGCAATGCCAAAGAATGCTCAAACTACTGCACAATTGCACTCATCTCACACACTAGCAAAGTAATGCTCAAAATTCTCCAAGCCAGGCTTCAACAGTACGTGAACTGTGAGCTTCCAAATGTTCAAGCTGGATGGAGAAAAGTCAGAGAAACCAGAGATCAAATTGCCAACATCCGCTGGATCATTGAAAAAGCAAGAGAATCCCAGTAAAGCATCTACTTCTGCTTTATNGGATGTGAGAGTTGGACTATAAAGAAAGCTGAGTGCCAAAGAATTGATGCTTTTGAACTGTGGTGTTGGAGAAGACTCTTGAGAGTCTCTTGGACAGCAAGGAGATCCAACCAGTCCATCCTAAAGGAAATCAGTCCTGAATATTCATTGGAAGGACTGATGCTAAAGCTGAAACTCAAATACCTTGGCCACCTGATGTGAAGAACTCACTGGAAAAGATCCTGATACCAGGAAAGATGGAAGGCAGGAGGAGAAGGGAACGAAAGAGGATGAGATGGTTGGATGGCATCAGCGTCTCCATGGACATGAGTTTGAATAAACTCAGGGAGTTGGTGATGGACAGGGAGGCCTGGCATGCTGCAGTCTGCGGGGTCGCAAAGAGTCAGACACGACTGAGCGACTGAACTGATCTATACTGTCATCATAAAAAGAACTGCGTGCAGTGCAAAGCTGATCAAGTGCTCTTAAAGCAGTATGTCATTTATTCCTCATTTCAAGTTTATGAAGAGAACGGAGCAGGAACCATGTCTATTTTGCAGAGAGGAAAACTGAGGTTCTGAGAGGGTAAGGGAAGTTGCCCGGGCCCATGGCCCAGGGGTGTAGGTGGGTCTAGAGCCCTGGTCTTCCAGTCCCCACTTCTCATGTGTCCTGCACTGCTTCAGGAAGCAGCATAAGTAAAGTAACCATATGATTTATCACCCAAACGCACACACTTTAGAAAGTGAAAGCAGCTCTATGAAGGATTATTCTGAGCCAATAACTGGACAGCAGGACAGTCTCAGGAATACTTGGGTGAATGGTGGCCTTAACCATAGGGAGAGGCAGACCCCTCTTCCTGGGCACTGTACTCTGGACGCTGCCCTGCTCATCTTCTTTCTTCGGCAGGAGACATAAATCTTTGTCTCTTTTTTTGAATGCAAGTGCCTTTTCAGTTATGAGCAACACAGTTCAAAAAAAAGAGAAAAAAACAGCCCTGATTGGGTCAAGTAATGAGGAACCAGTTCTCTCTTTGTTTTGGGCCACTGTGTCTAATCAGTTTCGACCCCAAAGCTCGAGAAAGGTAATCAGTACTAGGAAGATGCAATGGAGAAGGAAGAAAAAAAAGAGATAACATGGCTTCTGCAGGACAGAGAGTAAGAGGCTGACGAAAAAGGAGAGGACAATGTGAACAACATATAGTCTGAGAGCTGGGCAGCGAGCAGCTTGCGTATTATCAGTGTCCATGTTCTTCGACTGGGAAAGGCAGGTTCTACCATGTGGATAAGACCATGGGGCTTCTTAGAGTGAGCACAGATTGCCCCATCTGGCTGGCTAGGTCATTTGTTTCCTGGTCACCATCAACATCTCAGTGGTCACTGCAATATCTGTTATGGCAAGAGCTTGCTTCTGGATATAGTCACTTATACCAAAGTGTATGACAAGGACTTCACTGGGGGTCCAGTGGCTAAGACTCTGCACTCCCCATGCAAGCGGCCCGAGCTTGACCCCTGGTTGGGGAACTAGATCCCACATGCCACAACTAAGAGCTTGTGTGCGGCAACTAAAGACCCTGCCTATTACAGCTAAGACCCGGGGCAGCCAAATAAATATTTTTTAGAGTAAATGATAACAGTGATTAGTAATTATATTTCTAATATCAACACATAGCCTTTGCTGAATGCATTTATAATTTTTACATTTTTACTACTATTTTATTTATTTATTTTTACTACTATTTTAAGTTCATACATGTAAAAGTGCTGAAAACAATGTCCAGCACCTAATAAATACTATGTAAGTATTTTCTTTTATCATTGTCATTACTATTTCATTTGATTCTCACAAACACCCTACAAAATAGGTTGGCCAGATATGACAGAGAAGAAAATTAAGCACGGCTTGGCTAAGTTTATCTTCCACTGTTACCCAGCCTATCAGTTTCAACAGCATGACCCTGGTCAGAATTCTTTGGGTTCATCTAAGAACAGTATCTTCCGTCCTGTGAGCCTATAGTTTTAGCATACAAGTGCAGACTCTGAAACCATATCCCATAGGGTTAACAGAAGCTGGTGCCTTAATAGAAGTCCTTGTGTGTGTCTTACAGAATAGCAGATAATGGAACAGCATGTTAAAACCCCTCTGCTTGTAACCTGTCTTTAATCAAGCCTGCCTTGTTTTTCCTTTCTTAAACTGCACACCCTCCAAGCTTCATGTAGCCCAGGTAGTATACCACCAGACTTCTTGACCACCCT